ACTTGTTACACTCGGAAAACCCTTACCGTAACGACTTACTAACAAAAAACTATAGACGAACTTCTCGGCATAGTTTCTGCAAACATAAGAGTACCATTTGACGCAAACGAAGTTATCAATCGTATTGTGGACGGATCGAGGTTTACAGCATTTAAGCCCTTATATGGACCTAACATCATCGTCGGTTGGGCATTCATTCATGGTACCATTAATTTACCTGTATCTTTGATTAAAAGGTCTTGCTATTTGTACACTATTTACCTACGAAACATGAATGCGTTTTCAGGTTTCCAAGTAGGCATAATTGCGACGAACAATGTAATCTTCACTCAAGAAGCAAACAAGACCACCCAATTTATTCGCTTATGCAATATGATGTAAAAATCTTTGTTCACACTAGGATTTCTCCGTAGATTTTTCATGAATGACTTGCGGAAATGCATTTTTAATAGGTCCACACCACTTCTCTTCCTACAAAACACCACCGGGTTTATGGTGGGAAAGAAATACGAAGAAGAAGGTATAATCAAAGCTGGTTCACATTTTGTTAATGCTGTGAGTAACAGTCAGGTACCGGCTATTACAATTATGATGGGTGCTTCTTACGGTGCTGGAAATTATGCTATGTGTGGTAGAGCTTATAATCCGAGGTACTTTGTGCTATTTTTTGTTTTTCTTTAGTTCATTCGGTTGATTTCTACTAACTTTTATCCATAAATTGTAGATTCCTATTTTCATGGCCAAATAGCAAATGTTCGGTCATGGGTCCAGACCAACTAACCGGAGTCATGGATATAATTGCAAGAGAGTCTGCTGCCAGGTAATCTATCAACTACAATGTACCTTAACCATCCTCTATTCGCAAAGAAAATCAACCATTTTTTTAAACCGTAAAATTAGAGATGGAAAGAAGATAAATGAAGAGGTAGCACAGACAAGAAAAAATAAGTTGGCAGCTGTAGCAGAGAAAGAATCCGATGTGTATTGGACCACATCAAGAGTGTTAGATGATGGTGTCATAGATCCAAGAATGACAAGAATAATTGTTGGATTTTGTTTGAGCGTAATTTATAATGGAAAAGTTGAAGGTGGTCCTTTAGGTGGTGTTAGTAGAATGTGATATGCCCAACAATAGTCACATAAAACTCAGACGCCAAGATTAATAGTCTATTACAATTATTTATACCTTCTCACTAATCTTTATTTACTGTCTTGACATATTAATTTACATAGGGATTGAAAAAAAAAGCTTTGAATGCAGAACCCAACTTTCATTTAAAAATAAATAAAATAAAAATAAAATGTCAATACCCATTCGTTTAATTCAATGGTCTGCCACTAAATGAAGAAGCAGTGATCGAACACACGGGTAATCCCCAATTAACTTTAACCGGTTGCCTTGATTATCCGTGGACTTCTATTTCCATACTTTCATTAGTTGTAGTTACGATTCCATTTTCTTTGTTGATATCGGGACACTTGGATACATAAATCTCCAAGACATTCCTAAGGTTTGTGATGAATCCTGTATCATTGTCTACTAGTTGAACAAGATCGATAACATGCATCGAATCCTTGATGGCAATAAAATGCAGCGAGATAGATTCACACGTCGAAGGATTTAGCGGCCTGGGTTGTGTGACATCATCTTAATAAGTAAGAAATCGTGTGCAAATCAAGAGGATGTTAAATCGATATGGAAAATTGCTTACCCAATTCTAACATTATTTTCTAAACAAACAATATCCGAATCTGGCGTTTCGTGCTCTAAAAACTTCCTTAAGAAATCTGTAATCGATAAATAAAAGAATGTATCTTGATCAATAAATTAAAAAATATATTTATGAGATGAACACTAAATTTACCTGCTTCCTCCATAAATGGCTCTGATTGATTCGAATGACTACCATTCATCAAGAGTTCTGTCGAAGTTTGTAATTTCACGGATGGAGGAATTGATATATTCTTAATTGCTCTAAATGGGTGATCATTTGTAAAATTAGAATAATTCGCCCCGCGAGTACAGAAGTAACAATTTGTGAATAACTAAGTCCACTATAAATACTTTTCATTCGGTCGTTTTTTATTTGGCACTACCACGGTAAATCTTCTTATATGTTTCGATCGGTTGACAAAGAACGCGTTTATCGTAAAAGGTTTGCCTGTAACAACCTTTGAGTTAACTAGTAGCAAAGTATAAATGATAAATTTCAAAAAATAATTAATATTAAATTAATAATCTATATACAGCAAATAAAACTCCAAAGAAAACGACTTTGGATTTTACCTAAAAACGAAACCACAATTCCGTCGCCGACTTCGATTTCCGCAGGCCTCGAACTTGTCGGCGCACGACCACCAGAAAGTATACCGTTAGTAATGGCGTCTTGATCAGGTATCGCGGGTAAATTGGATATC